CACATTTATTTTTAGTTATTAAAAAATAGGTCTTTTTTAAAATTGTAACACTTTATGTATTACTCTAAAACTAATCTTTCCTACCTTCACTTTGACAGGTGCTTCAGTGATATTAAATTTATTATAATTAACTCTTGTGACCTTCATGTACATGGATATAATTATTCATAATTTTAACATTGGGCCTGACGGAAAACCAGTAGTGCGTATACCGTCCTCCAACTCACGAAGCATAAAAAAATTTTTAATATTTTATTCAGTTTGTTGGTTTTTTGCTTTTCAGTCTGAAAGGGGACAAAATATGGTCAACTAGTTGCAGGTTGCAGCACATCCGTTATTATTAATGTCCAAAATCTTCCGTTGGATGGTGCCTGCTGTGTCTAAAAGTACATTTACAGTTTTGTGGTCCTACTGGGTTTTTCATACAGATTCTGATGTTTCATATTCAGAGTTCCAATAACCGGAATCTCAGGTAATTTACCTGTCTCTGACATTCTGGGCGCAACGGATCTGTTATGGGCTTACTACTAGTGTTATGGTGATGATTGTACTTTTATTTTGCCTAACACTTATAATTTAATGAAAATGTAAGAAATTGCTCAAAGTTATTCATTATTAACGTTTTAGGATCGTGAGCCGTACAACAAGGGTGCATTTAAGATTCAGATAGACTTTCCGGCCGAGTACCCGTTCAAGCCGCCAAAGCTTTACTTCCTGACCAAGATATATCATCCGAACATTGATGAAAAAGGTCAGGTTTGCCTTCCAATTGTTTTGCCAGAGAATTGGAAGCCAGCTACCAGAGCGGAACAGGGTAAGATTGTGGTAGCGCCATGTTGTGCTTAACTTCTGCTATCATTAACTTAGGTTAAATTTTGGTAGCGTGAAAGCCAAGGCATGGAATATTGTTTGTCTTTTCTTTTTCTCATTCATTCATTTTCATGAATCCATATTCCCTTTGTTGGGTTGCTACGGCAGCAGTCTTACAAAGTTTTTTCAATGACTGCATTTGGATTACTGCCTTGAGGAAATATTTTTTGACTTTACGATGAAGCTCTTTTCTTCTTGTATATGGGAGCAGTGTTGATCATTGAAGATGGCTTCATTTGTGACAGCAGGTATTAAGTACTAAACCTCATAGCATATTCTTCATAAATATCAAACCCAGAAGTAAAAATTCAGTGAGAATCTCCAGCGGTGAGTTGTGGTGACATTAACATACTGTAAGAAATTATCTGATGGAACAGTATATGGTCAAATGCGGAAAGCGTCATCGAGGCATATAGAGGGGCTTTAACAAAGGCATTCTCAAATCTGCCGAAAGATTTATCAGATGAACAGACGCGTGTAGACAGGTCACCACGGCAATGCTGTAACTCCATGAGAAAATTAGTGACTCAAATGAGATCATTCGTAATTGTTTAAACCTGTGCATGATTTAGCGCTTTGTCGCCGTAAGTTTAAGTTACTCGGCAGATGGATCATATTTGAGTAAAATGGTTGGTCATGACGATTGCAGCGAAGTAAGGTACCTTCAAAGAAGTTAGCAAACGCACAAATGTATTGTCCAACAGCAGTAATAACACCGGGATTGTTCGCTTGGACAATGTAGTTGTTATCAGCATAATGTGGTATTGTGATAAACACAAAGCAATGCAATACGCAACAGAAAGATAGACGAAACATGAAAAAAGCTGTATGCTAATAAGTACTTCATACAACATGCTGATTCATGTGTAAAGCTTTAAGACTTTATAAATGATATACGTTGTAAAAAAAATTTTGCTCAGAAACAAGGTTTTGACTGACGTTATCCAGCCTTTATCAGTTTAATCCACCAGACGAGACCCAGAGTTTTGAGCAGAGATGATGGCATTTATGTCTTTCCTTCAAGGTGAAACTGTAATCTTCCGACAAGGAAAAAATGCCAACTTTGGTTGCATCTTGATGATCTTTTACAACCGTACCTCACTGTATGTCTTTTCCGTGTAGTATTTGCACCAAATGTTTTGCGCCATGTGTATTATTAATTAAGCTTAATACTTTACACATTAAAAACGTTATTTTATTAATTTACTTTTGCACGCTATGCTGATTTGTTTAGTCAAAAATCATGTGGGTCATCGTGAATTGCTGCCGTAATGCGAAATTGAAACATGGACTTTGGAGTAAATAGTAGTATTTATGTAGTGGAGCAATATGCCCAAGAGAAGTTAGTAGAAATAGTAGCTTTAGAAACAATAGAAAGTGATGCGTTTACATTAAGCTGTTGAAATAGATCTACGATCTATAGTGAGCGGTAGAGGTGGTAGTAAGTACCAATAGAAGCGGCATACTAGCGTAAATCCTAAAAGTGGTAGCTGTAGAAAGAGCAGTAAGTAGCAAACTTTACCGTAGTTATTTGAAATAAGTACAATTAGAAGTAGTAGACTTTAGAGGTGGTTGTAGACTTTATAATAAGTAGATAGTGGCTGCAGACACGGTCGTTGGTATGACGTGGCAGAGATGGTATAGACGCATGTCTCGAACGTTATTGCATGTCAGAGCATTATGCTGTCCCTTTTAGTCGCAGGACATCAACCTGCTCTCCCTTTCTTAGCTGTTTGCGCTGAAAGACAGTAAGATGAATTCCTTGATCAAGGGATTAAACAGTTAGGAGAAAATTCACGCCATTGTTTGGGTTTGATCCTGGCACCTCTACGGTACAATGGAATCTGTTTACCCGTTATGTCATTGCCCCCTCCCCTTCGCCCGTGAAACGTTCTCATCGCCCTCACTATCACATACT